AATCTCTCAAAACTATCGTCACCTCTGCGAACCCCGTGAAATTAGAAAATCTTGAATTAGAGATTTTCCTAGCAGCCACTGTTACTCTACGGGCCCACCCATCTAAAGCCATCCTCATGACATGTTCTTGAATTGGTTTGAAATTACCTGATCTAGTCGTACTGTTGCTATATTGGATTGATACAGATTTTTAGTAAGTATAATGCGTTTTGATAATCAACGAAGCATATAATCAGGTACTTGAAATTCTCTAGACTTTTCAATGAGTTGTTTCAGGTTCAGGATTTGTTTCCGTGTACCTTTACTCTTTAAAAACCCCGCTTGTTCCTGAGGTATTTGCTAATGTAGATAGGTTTTTAATCTGTTTTTGTTGATATGCAACAAGATTTTACTTGTGCGGTAGTTTTCACATCTGGTAGTAGTTCGTTTTTTGTGTAGCGGGATAGAAATTAAGGTACACACACACAATCAGATGGTCAGTTTACTGTATTCCAAACAGCGAAACAGATAGAATGCATGATATGTAATCCTTTGTTACATAGTAACTGTAGTATTTCACCTGGTATTGAATCAATGCCTGGATATTTATTTCCCTTTAGCGATTTAATTGCATCTTTGACTTCAGCGAGTAAGACTGTAGGCTCTCTAGGGTAGTCAGAGGGCCATTGACTTTCTGCTGGTACCTCGTTATTTTTATATAGCTCGTCACAGTAGTTTCGCCATGTTTTCAATATTTCGTCAGTATCGGTCCTTATATTACCTTCCTTATCTATTACAGATCAAGATCGAGATTTAAATTCTCTGGTAAGGAGTTTGACCTTCTGAATTAAATCCCTCGGTTCATTTCGACATCCACGTTCTTCTATCTCTTTGCGCATTTGAAAGATGTAATCAGCTTGTGTTTGCAGCACTGTTTTCTGATTTCTTTCGATAACGCTCTGTGTTCATCGTTTGTTCCAGATCCAGTTTATATTTTTTCCACAGTCCACGTATTATCAGATACCTACGGCTTACGGCCCGTGGAAACCACTATAAACCAACTGTTTCACCGTAAGTGAAACAATGGCCAAAAAGTATTCTTCTTAGCCATCTCTCGTCCATTTTTGCACATAGGCCTGTCCCAACTCCTTTCATTGATCTCTATCCTGAGCAACATACTTCCAATTTGTTCCGGCTATTCTTTTCATGTCGTCCATCCATCTCATCTCTGGTCTGTCTCTTAGTCGTCTACCTTTGTAAAGTCTCCAATATTGTATTGTGTGTGCTAGTACACCAAAAAGTGTTAGTTTTGCACAGTTTGGATTATATGTTTTAAAACTTTTGAAGAATACACGAAAGTGAAAGTATTTAACTTTTCTAATTTAAGGAAATATGTAAAATACAAAGAGGTGTCAGACAGGGTTGTATACTATCCCCACTGTTATTAAATTTATATTCAGATAGAATATTTAAAGCCTATTAGATATATTTAATACCGTTTAAATGCCATTGATACAGTGGGAGAGTTTGGCCTAAACATAAACTGTTCAAAAACAAAACAAATGGTGTTTAGCCGTTTAGCACATCAAGATGCACGATTATATGTTGATGGTCATATAATTCAAAGAGTGTCCAGTTTTAATTATCTTGGTTGCCATATTACTGAACAACTAGATCCAGATCAAGAGATAAAACGTAGAATCGAGATAGTCCGCACGACATTTTTAAAAATGAGGTCATTCTTCTGTAATGACAACTTGCAACTTCAACTTCGAAAGCGCATGGTTAAATGCTACATTTGGTCAGTCCTCTTATACGGTGTCGAAGCATGGACATTAAAAATATCTACCATTAATCGTCTGGAGGCCTTTGAAATGTGGCTGCACAGACGTATACTAAAAATTCCATGGACGGCTATGCTGACAAATGTGGCAGTCCTTGAGAGAGCAAATGCTGCTCGCGAGCTGCTTGATAACATCAAATGTAGAAAGATGGCCTATTTTGGACACGTAGTAAGAGGAGACCGATATAATATTCTTCAACTTATTATGATGGGTAAAATCGAAGGACGCAGAGGAATTGGTAGAAAGCAGGCCTCTTGGTTGAAGAATATCAGGGAGTGGACAGGAATAAGGAAAGCTGAGCAACTCTTTAGAATAGCTCGAGACAGAGACAGTTTCGCCATGTTAATCGCCAACGTCAAGGGGACTTAATAGGGCACGTTAAGAAAAAGAATTTAAGGAAATACATTTATTTATCAATTGGTACTCGGTCTCAATCCGAGAGCTCAATACCGCAGGATAGCAAGTTATTCCATAGAGTTTTTGAATGCTATTATTTCTAGATTTCAGTTTAGCAGAGACTTTTTCAAGGTGTTGCTTATAGGAAAGGGTATGATCTAGTGTCACTTCAAAATGCTTAGGAAACTTATTATATTTACGTATTTTGTCTTGGAACAATACGCTTAATTCCATATGTAACATTTTTTGTTGTTGAGATACAGTATAGTTCAATTTTGTTACCACTAGGAAAAATGTTCACTTTTTAAAAACTTCAACTTGTAGATCGGTCGTTAGAGTCTGCTCTGTAGTTTCTATAAATATATGCCTAGTGTAAATGGAAAGGGTTTCTCTAACATCGTCCAAGCATAGCTGAATAAATATTTCGGCTGGGTACAAGTAATTAGGTATAATTACTTCAGATTATTTCTTCGACTTTTGGAGTATTTCCATTAAGCGGTGGTTCTTTTTGTTGTGTGAATTTAAATACACTACTTTTACTCAGTAGAAGTGTATTTCAATTGCAAACAGTATACTTTTAAATTGTTTGATAGATAATACAATTACCATTTATTTGCTCTCTGCTTTTGTATAAGAAATATATCTTACAATAGTTAATCCGTGATCGGATGATTCACCGGCGTGATTGCTTCGAGCATCAATCGAAAGTAAAGAGAAAGAATTCTCTGTGCAATCTTTCGCTGAGTCAAATTTTGGACCGTGCGATGTTGCAGCGAGGAGTAAGACGTGGAATCGCTGTTGCCAGCTTGTAATAAGTCCGAACACCTAGTCTCGAGTGCTATATTATCGACCTAGCTAAACTGGCTAGAACTAGTATGTGGAAATTGTGATATACATTAATTACTATTTAACTGGGAATAAGCCACAATTAAAGATAAAAATACGTTTATTGACGTTTCAATTTCCACTTCGGAAATCGTTCTCAAAATACAAACAGTAAATTAAACAAATTTTGTTTTTTGTTACATAGTGAAAAATTCTTCTAATAATTTAATTTTATCTGACTCATTTATATTGACAATTCAGACATACATTATGCATTTTAAAGTAGACGACTTTAAAATGATATTGCCAATATTGTTGAGTTGCGCTCCTGGGACGACTTTACTTATAAGATAGTTCATTCGATTACATGAAATCAACTTTAACTTGAGAATATCCGTCAGAAAAAATCATAGCATGTAATTCGTCTTTAAAAAGACAAACACATGACATGATGACAGTAAAATTCTCCTGTTAGTGATTCCATAGTAAATTATGAGAGAAAAACCAGGAAAAAAACCTCATAATACTATCCCGACATGGTAAGTATTTGTTCGTGCATTTAGTTTACCTTCAATAAACACCAAAATTCTGATTTTATATGTTTCGTTATTTAAAAAACATAAATGATGTATCCTATATATGTTACTGACTTACTAATACTGGTATTTTCTTATTAATAACTTCCTCTTTCAATATTGGTAACCAGATCATACTACATTCTGCCGAGGAATTTGCGACACAATTGGCCTCATTTAGCATAATTAGAGCCGCTTCTTTGATTTTTCTTTTTTTACCATCCGTTTCTTTTAGGACTACATTTGAATTATTCCATTGAACCCTATGTTCATTATCCCATGCGTGTTTACATATTTGAGATCTATCAAATTCTCTATTTTTAATATAAGATTGATGTTCACTTATTCTAACATTTAATGGCCTTGATGTTTCACCTAAATAAAACTGATCGCATTCACAAGGTATTTTATAAATGCAATTCTTTGTCCTTTCTTGTTCATTGTTAGGTTTGGTTTTGGACAAAATAGATCTCAACGTGTTTGTTGTTTTGAATGTTGTTGAAATGTTGAATTTATTTCGTATCCTTTTAAGTTTTTCTGATAATCCTTTTCTGATAATATTTTTATGAAAATAAAATACCGTACATAAAAGGATTATATCCGGTACCAATGGGGGGATACTATGAGTACTTTATCACAGCAGCTCCGATTGAGCCTAAATCCTGTTTGATCCACTAGGATTTTTTTTCAGGATTTTGACAGAGATTCTGTTAAAAATAGGTTTCTCTAAAAGTTTATAGGCACAGCTCAGTGAAGATACGAGTCTAAAGCTTTCTGACTTGATATTTGGATTCAAAAGTTTTAAAATGGCAAAAGTTTTTTGAAGAGAATTTTGGCGTGTTTGAAAACAGCCTACTACATTGCTTTGTACAAAACAAAAATATTCGTTTTATAACATTAATTTCTTCATAAGAAACAAAAAAAAAAAACGTAAAATTAATTTTTTTAGTTTAACTTTACACCGTATTGAACTATATCACGTAGGCAAAAAATTCTCAGAAAATCACATTAGTTGCGGTGAAATAAAAATTAAGGAACGTCAATAGGTGTTAAGAATGTACGTCAACCAAAAAAAATTACACAATAATAACAAATTTGCAACACTTCCGATATAACACACAGCACGTCAATAAAAATATTTTGTTTCTAAAATATTATTAACCTTATCAAACCAAGATACCAATAATTACGACAATGTCTGTCTTTTGTCGGAAAATATTTAGTGAATCATTAATAGGTACCTACTACCAAGTTGAACTACCTGTAATACTTTCAGAATATCAAGATCATGAGGGAATCCCGGTAGAAGTCCCGGCGTTTGGTTTTTTGCGAAATAAATAAAAGCAGCGACGCTCTCCGCTTTCTAGTTCAGTTGATGTTAGCTCTTTTCACGGTACCAACTAAAAATGTACTTCAATATTAAAACTGGTATTTTGGTTTTGTTCGTAGTGGTTGAGTTTTCAAGTGGTTTACCTTATAACAGCAAAAAATCAACCGACGAAGGATCTGACGTTCTTGAAGGTTAGTAAGAGTTACTTAATTTTAATAAAAGTGTTTTTAAATGTATTGTGAGGAATTCGTATTTGTTGATTATTTTAATGACTTTCTTGGCTACGCAACTATTATTTTGAGAAATTCATACTATACATTTAAAAACTACCGTTACATTTCATAAATATATTTTCGGTCAATAGAATCAGTTTTGTGGGAAGATTATTATTATCTAAAATATTTTATGTAAATAAACCACAATTTAACTAGTTCATATTGAACTCTTTTAGCAGTAGACCAAATAATTTTGTATTTTTAAATTAATTTTCGAGCTGAAAGTCAAACGTCATATAAAATATTTCTTGTTGCAACTGCTTATTTCTAATAGAAAATAATAAATAAAACTAAAACTTAACAAGAAAATGGCTTCAAAACAATTTCAACAACTAAGTTCAGATTATCATAAGTACTGTCCTAAGTTCGAAATAGGTAAGAATATCTGCAGCTTTGTTAGAGGTTTAACAAGACTTTCTTCTTTTTGTGTAGACATGACTCTGTCTGTTTTTCAATGTGCCTCCAGTAAGTTGTCGTTATATCATTTTTGTGGTCTTCCCACTGATCGTCTTACGCTACGATGGTGGTACCAACTCACGCCGTCTTTACTACTGTATTATATATGATTCGGCTTTTATGATTGTTCCACTATACTCTTCTATTTCTTACCCATCCTTGATGTTTTCCACTTTACATCTCCGTCGTATATCTCTACTTCCAGCTCTGTCCCATAGTGTCTTAGTATCCCTCTTCCGTTTCAAGCTTTCCATAGCTTTTTTTTATAGATAGTGTGATTCCTAGATATTTAAACTCCATCACTTTTTCTATTATCTCCAGCTCTAATTTACATCATGGTAGATTTGCTGCCATAACTGCGCATTTTGTCTTTTTTGGGGAAATAACATGGTAAATTTTCTGGCGGTTATACTAAATTGGTGCAGAATAGGTTGTAAAGCATCTTCCTTTTGAGAGATTACTATTGCGATGTCTCCATTATTATGATTTTAAGTTGTTTTTCTTACTTTTGGTATCCTTTTCGTTCTATTATTTCAATCATGATCAGATTGAATAATAGAGGGCTCAGGGTATCCCTTCGTCTGTTCCCCTTATCAGCTTCAATTGGGTAAGTTAATTCTTCATCTACTTTTACTTTTATTGTGTTATTCTGGTAGATATTTTTGATCGTTTTGATTATTTCTAGAGGTATCTCTCTTGCTTGCAATAAGTGGATAACATCCTTTAATTTGACGCTATCAATTGCCTTCTTAAGGTCCATAAAACATAATATGCAGGTTTGTTGTATTCTAATAATTTCTCTCGCACTTGTCTCATTATAAATATAGCGGCGGTGCATGATCTTCTGACCTAAAACTTTGTTGTCCTACTGATAGTGATATAATTTCATTAAGTTTATTTTTTATCAATTAGTTTATATGGTTGTTATTTTTAGTTATCAGTTCCGATCAACTCTTTACTTTGTTCCCTGATCATTATCCATATTTTTCTTTGTGTTCCGTAGAAGTGGGGTATCTTCTGTTTTGAGAAGCTCTATCAGGTTTTCTTTTATGTGTTACTAAAGTATTCGTTTCATTTCGGATTCGTTTATATTGGTGGTATGTTATTGTTTTCTAATATTTAATTCTTTGCAATCTTCTCTGATACTCTTTGTCTGTATAAGTATTCCGTGGATTCCGTATTTAGTCCTTCGACTGTGATTCTTGTTTGTGTTGGTGCTTTGGGCATGATGTATTTAACTTCGATTATTTCTAATGGATCCATGTTTTTGTTGGTTATAAGATAATCTATAATAGGTCTTTGTCCACGCGTGATATTGAATATATATATATATATATATATATATTAGTATACTGGTAAGGTTGATTGGGTTAGCAGCTGAATAATGAAAGCCAAAGTGTGCTCTTTTCAACGATTTCGTTATAATTTCTTTAACATCTTCAGACGAATGCTACAAAATGGTGAAATTGTGTATTTTACATAAGATGTAGTGAACACTAAAATACACAATTTCACCATTTTGTAACATATTGTAGCATTCGTCTGAAGATGTTAAAGAAATTTAACGAAATATAACGAAATCGTTGAAAAGAGCACACTTTGGCTTTCATTATTCAGCTGCTAACCCAATCAACCTTACCAGTATACTAATTAATAATTGGACAGCTGTGATCATTCTTCGTTTTATATTATATATATATATATATATATATATATATATATATATATATATATATATATATATATATATATATATATATATTATATTCTTCGTTTTATATATATATATATATATATATATATATATATATATATATATATATATATATATATATATATATATATATATATATATAACACTGTTTTTGATGGGTTGGAGTCAATAAAAGGGGCTATTTGTTGACTATTTTTTACTCGAGCTTTCAATTGTGATTACAATTTTTATCAAGAGCTTCTAAAAAATACAAAATGTCTTACAAAGTTGAACTAGAAATAAAAAATTTTTTGTTAACTCACCAAATAAAATTAGTTTTTTATATAAAACTACTGCTTACATAATAAATACAAAAAATATTAATAAAAAAATGCCTTATTCTAATAAATGTTTCTCTGAAAAATTTAGATGAAGTTTCTTAAGAAAAAAAAATTGAATTTATAAACAAAAATAGAATAGCTACAACCAGCCTAAAATGTCATAAATACTAACTTAAAAATTTTTATTTTTGACATATTGTCAAAAATAAAATTTTGTTTAAAAAATTCTTCTTTGTTAAGTAACAAAAAGAAGAAGATTTATTCACCATTGATAGATGCCCGAAAAAATGTAACAAATACATGGAAAATTCAAAATATGATATTTTACTGACTGCATAAATTAAATAGAAATTATATAATTATAAATTTTGCTTAAATTTTGAATTTCTGACCTTTTGTTTAAATTATTATCACTTTTGCTAATACAAACCATTTCCAAAAAAGTTCTTTTAAATTTATTACTTTCATTACATAAAATTTTAATATTATCAAAATCCATAATATGGTCTTTATCTATTACATGCTCTGCCAAAGCACAAGATGGTTTCTTAATTCTACAATCACTCTTGTGAGAAATAATGCGATTTGAGAGATTTCTTCCAGTCTCACCAATATACTCAGCTTCACACTGAGTACAAACAATGCTGTATACTACATTTGTTTGATCTAATTTGTCTATAGGATATTTAGTTTTGGAATATAAAGATGAAATAGTTTTGATGTTCTTTGTTGCTATTTTTATATTGTCAATAACCTTTAATGTTTGTATTAATTTAGGAGTTAATGATGGTATAAAAGGTAGTGAATGATAATATATGTTTTGATTGTTGGATACAGTGTTTTGAGATTTAGCAAAAAATGGTGTTAAGTTATTTATATTTAATAAATTAGAAAAAAGCATCCTATGATTAGAGTAAGAATAATTATTAGAATTGTAAGAAATACAGACAATATGTTGAAAACTAGATGGTTCAGAAAACCCATATGTAGTAATAGATTTATAAGCTATTACTCTAATCATCCAAATAAAATGAAAATAAACCTTATAACAGGATTAAAGGAACGTGTTTTAAAACTTTCTCATCCAGACTACCTACAAGAAGATCTTCATTTGTTAAAAAATATTTTAATTGAAAACTCTTATCCTCCTGATATGCTACATAGGATGCTTTTTTCTAATTTATTAAATATAAATAACTTAACACCATTTTTTGCTAAATCTCAAAACACTGTATCCAACAATCAAAACATATATTATCATTCACTACCTTTTATACCATCATTAACTCCTAAATTAATACAAACATTAAAGGTTATTGACAATATAAAAATAGCAACAAAGAACATCAAAACTATTTCATCTTTATATTCCAAAACTAAATATCCTATAGACAAATTAGATCAAACAAATGTAGTATACAGCATTGTTTGTACTCAGTGTGAAGCTGAGTATATTGGTGAGACTGGAAGAAATCTCTCAAATCGCATTATTTCTCACAAGAGTGATTGTAGAATTAAGAAACCATCTTGTGCTTTGGCAGAGCATGTAATAGACAAAGACCATATTATGGATTTTGATAATATTAAAATTTTATGTAATGAAAGTAATAAATTTAAAAGAACTTTTTTGGAAATGGTTTGTATTAGCAAAAGTGATAATAATTTAAACAAAAGGTCAGAAATTCAAAATTTAAGCAAAATTTATAATTATATAATTTCTATTTAATTTATGCAGTCAGTAAAATATCACATTTTGAATTTTCCATGTATTTGTTACATTTTTTCGGGCATCTATCAATGGTGAATAAATCTTCTTCTTTTTTGTTACTAAACAAAGAAGAATTTTTTAAACAAAATTTTATTTTTGACAATATGTCAAAAATAAAAATTTTTAAGTTAGTATTTATGACATTTTAGGCTGGTTGTAGCTATTCTATTTTTGTTTATAAATTCAATTTTTTTTCTTAAGAAACTTCATCTAAATTTTTCAGAGAAACATTTATTAGAATAAGGCATTTTTTTATTAATATTTTTTGTATTTATTATGTAAGCAGTAGTTTTATATAAAAAACTAATTTTATTTGGTGAGTTAACAAAAAATTTTTTATTTCTAGTTCAACTTTGTAAGACATTTTGTATTTTTTAGAAGCTCTTGATAAAAATTGTAATCACAATTGAAAGCTCGAGTAAAAAATAGTCAACAAATAGCCCCTTTTATTGACTCCAACCCATCAAAAACAGTGTTATATTTTTTCCAAACGAGTCACAAGTACTTCTTTTTCTTACTCTTATATATATATATATATATATATATATATATATATATATATATATATATATATTGTAGTTTTGAGTTTCTTAAACCGTATTATATTTAACATAAAATTAATGTTTCTTGGGTTTAGGTTCAATAAGGATATGTTACA